ATATTCGTGTTCTGCCCGACGCCCGATGAATTTCTTTTGAAAGCGATTGTTTTTACGGTATGTGAACATGAATATATGAATATACACTCCCCCCCCCCCGCCCCAATTAACGCGCCTAGGAACGGTCCTGACAATAGCGCGCTGAAGTTCGATTATCTTTTTCTTATACACCCTGTACAGTAATCTATTCTAACTGCCCTCATGCTCCCATTGGCTTACAGGTAGATAGTTTTGGGAAATGCGAGCCCTGGCGCCGGGTAAGATCTCCTACCTTTCCAACTGGGTAACGTTAGTGTCCTCTATTAACTATGCCCTATCCTACCCTTCATCCTAACATTACCCGAAACTTATTCCCAAAACTCACCCAAAACTTACCCCATAACTGCTTTTCCCCGAAACTAAGCAATCATCGGTGGGCAAATAAGTGAAAGAAAATGCAAAACATTATGACATTAATTTTGACAAAGACAATGCCATGCAAGCCGCTATAGATATGCACTAGAGTGCGGATATCGAATGTCGAGTATGCACTCCATCTTTCCTTTCTGGATAACAAAAACAAAGAAACAAATTCAAACTGGAGGATCGATTTGAGGGATATCGGATAGGAACAGGGTGGAATCATATAATCGTGATCTGCGATTCAAATGTTGCATAATATTAAACTAAACGAACAAGCTTATATATACGAATAAAATGATGGAATACCATTACACGGCACGATATGTGTGTCGTTTCGTGAAATAAATTACTTGGTTCGTAAATAAAATTCCTTAAATTTTCCCAGTGAACTGTGAAAAGTTAGCACAATGCGACACAACTAGAGAGACATATACGGTTGCAATGATAGTCAAAATGTGAGAACTGCTAAAAAAAATAGGCACTCAAAGAGTGCGTAAGGATTTGCAATTTTGTTGTCAATTTTATAATGCAAGAAAGATTGAAAAATATCAGTTCATAATGCAAGAACGATGGAAAAATATCGCCCAAAATGTAGTTTAACAAAACACAACATCATACATGACAAATGTTTTCTTCGAATGTCAACTTTTGTTTAATTACTGTTATATTCAAAGTTAATCTACTACAACTTTTAAATGGCTTTATCACTGCCTCAAAGATAAAAGAATAACTGAATTTGTAGAAATGTTGAAGATATTTTGTAATTTAACGTTTGGATAAAAAAACACACAATTATTTCGATGTTTTCGCATTCCGCAACAGGCAATACATTTCTAATTCATTTCCAATTAATACGAATGAAAAATGGAACAATACAGTTTTTATAGTGGAAACACCGCTTTTGATTTGACTTTATACGGCCGCTCCTGAGTTGAACGAATTTGTCTTTTAGGACTTTTTCCATTTGTATTTCTAGCACAAAACAGTCATATATTCATTCGTTTAGCTGAAAGTAAGTGGTACAATGTTTAGTCGTTGGTGTATTGCCCTCCCCCTTACACACCCGATGACATAAAGGATTTTGCTTCGCAAATCTTTCGCAAATCCTTAATGATAGGTCCATTGACCCAGAAAATGATATGTCCATTGGCCTATGTCCATTGGCCTATGTCCATTGGCCTATGTCCATTGACCCAGCGACTTAATGATCGATAGAGCATCATGTTTGAACGTAAACTGACACACATTAAAACCTGTCCGCTTTTGGCTTAGAAACAGCAATTCTGTCCAATTCGTTACGTTAGACGTTATAAAAATCATATGCTCTGGTTACGTTAGACGTTATAAAGATCGTATGCTCTGGATCGACAATACGGGTAGGCGAACCCTAGCTCCACGTAAACCATAGCCTGCGAACAGGCTCTCAAGCTGAATTGAGAGCCTGCATCGATGATTAATGAATTTGAATATCTGCCCCGTAACGTTCGTTTTTCCAAATATGGAATGTCTATCCTTATATGGTGTTGTTTACAACTTTCGTGCAAACTAAATTTAGACCGTGCAACTAAATTTAGAGCGTACAGTTTATACTATTTTTCGAAATATAAGATATTCAAGCAAAAGTTCAAATGTTTTAAATACTGTTTTCTCAAAACAGAACATTTCGTGCTTTGAGATAAGACGGCCAAGACCAATATGAACAGTTAATGTGTTTTTTTATTCAGCAGTTGACATATATAGAGCTCAGCGGAAACATATAAATTATAGCATCTGACCAATGAGAATTTCGCGTCACGATTTGAGACGCAGATATTCAAATTCGTTAGTCATCGATGCAGGCTCTCAATTCAGCTTGAGAGCCTGTTCGCAGGCTACGTAAACCATTGTCATTGAGTATTCAGTGTCGGGTGGCTGCAGTGGCGTGCTGGCAGGGGGGGGGGGCGGGGGCCACGGCCCCCCCAGCTGGCAATTCTTGGGGGGGGGGCGCAGAAATGAAAAGGGGGCGCCGAATTTTGAAAGTGGGTGGGGGAAAACGCATTCGAAAAAATATAGTTACTTCCGCCAAGAAAACGACAAAGTGATATATTAAATTACAGATTATTATGTCTATTAAGCCGTATTTGCTAATTTGCTACTTCACGGCGCACACGAAATAATTTATATCGGAACATGATCAGTGATCAAACGCAATGTCTCATTACCGAAATATTGGTCAGGTTTGGAAGCGATCACGGAAATATTACGCCCTTTATTATGCTTCGCGAGAGCGGCGCAAATTAGATGTTGAAGTTATGATAATGTAAAGTTGTATACGCAATTTAGTTGTTTGCGCAAGAAACATCATGAGTAATGTAAGTAATGAAATAATGCTGAAACGCGCCCTTTTGGCAGCCAGGCAAGGAAACCTTAAAATGCATATGCGTGGGGTCCATGTATTATTGTATAAAAGAGCTGTAAGTTGTAAATGTATTCAGATCAATAGATCAGTAGGGAATAGAATTGGGATTAGATTAATCGCTGGAAGTGGTTAGCATTGCATAATTTAAGTACAAATTGCAAATTTCGACACGTTATAATGCTGTTTCCTGACCATCAGATTTCTGTCAAATCGTCCCCCAAAGTCCAGGAAATGGCATTTCAGACACTCTAAATTCAAAAATTTTCCTGCGGGGCATGCCCCCGGACCCCCCTAGACAAACCTCGCACCTTCGGCGCTCGGCTCGTGCCTTCGGCCCTCGTTTATCAAGTGTAATATTAAAGGGGCGCATATTGGTTGACAGCACACTGCCCCCCCCCCCAGAAAAATAGTACCCAGCACGCCACTGGGTGGCTGTAGCGCAGGTCGACATACTGTTGGTACGACTGGACATACTGTTGGTACGACTACCCCATTGTCGGTCCCAGGCAGCCCCTAGAGGCATAAAAGGCATTAGACGCCCGCACCCGGTTCCAACAATGGTTGGGCGAAGGTATAAGGTGAAAAATAGGTACGCATTGCGTACATGTGGTTAGCCCACTGAGCTATAATATTACTGGAGGAAGTGAAGAAGAATTTATTCGCACCAGTCAAAAATACATAATTACAATTTTTTTCCACACATTAAAACACAGTTGGCACAGGATATCTGACAAAATCGGCAAAAAAAATGTCCGCAAAAACATGGCGGATTTTCGTGCCATATGACGCCATTTCCATGACAACTGGTTCCTCCAGCTCAATTCTGAGCCCGCTACAATTTTCACACACCCTTGGCACAGAATAGAAAATAAGACCAGAAGCCTCACTCAGCCAAAATTATGTCCGAGATTTTTTATGCGCAGGCGCGAGCCAGCAAGTGTAATCCACGCCATAAAACGCGAGCAATTACGCCATCAATTGCCATTACCAGGTAATAAAGATTGCTGTTTTAACCGTTTTGCTGACGAACGCTGACGTGATGTTCGCAGCAAGTGTCACACACGTCATCTAGCGTGCGAAATTCGTGATCCGCAAGGCAAAAATCGCGGACACGAAAATGTTAAGGAAAGGTGTACAGTGAGACTTCTGGTCGATTATATATTCTATGCCCTTGGCATCTGTGCCCCTGGTTTTATCAAAAAATGTTTGCTTTTCGAGGTTTTTGCAGTAAAATCTCGTTGTTTTTTACATTTTTTCGACTTTTGACCATTTGTTCAAAGATTTAAAAGTCGTGCACGGTATTCTCGCCCGCGAAAGACAACAAATCAATATGAAAACCCTGAGAAATTTAGGCAAAGGCGATATTTGATGGCAGAGCTATTACAGGTATTAATATATTTCACATACTATTGATATGCTTTTATTTTTAATTTTTAAAAGATAATGGGAGTAAGAATATAATCCATTAGATAACAGGCTCTTTGTATAGTATAACGTATTATTTTCCCCCGTGTGTTCAAAGTCTTGTCGTAAAAAATACAGAAACTTTGTTTTTATATTCAAAGTTTTTTTGTTTTTTTTTCACTTTAATACTAGCTTTGTTAAATTGTTGGCTGGCCATGGTTTTTGTTAAACAAATTTTGTTTTATTTAAATTAGTTAAATCAGGTTTTCCCTCAAATCCTTTGGGTTTTCTATATAGACTGATGACGGAAATCTGACATGTTTGATTTTATGCAATTGTATCATAGGCAGCCCAATGTTATGGTTGCCTGCCTGCCTGCGCGCGGGCGAGGCATTGTATAGTTGTATTATTTCCTAAGGTAGGCAAATGCAATCAAATTAACGATACATATACTTTCAAACAATCCAAAATACTTCAAATATCTTTACAGCTACGCTAAAATAATCACGGAAATAAAATCTACGATACTTTTACTATATACTAACAATATTTTAACGTACAAAACAAATTTGTAATGCGAGAAAAATACGAAAAGTTTTTGCATTTTTTTCAATTCTTGAATGAGACGATGCTGGATTCGCGCTCGACGTTTTTGATGGCGTTTCAAATGACGAATTTCCAATCTCATACACCGATTCGAAAAAGAGTTGTCAAGTCTGGAGGACTGTGGCGAGTTACACGAAAACGAGGCTAGTCAGGTTGTTGTTTTTAGTCAGGAAATTTACAAAATAATACTAAAAATTATACAAAGTTATGTAAAAGGTTTTCATGGAAAAATTGTTGTTTAAAGTTGCATGCCATCGCACTGTTGTGTACCTCTTTGTTCTCAGCAAGGATACCGACTCTCAAATGGTGAAAAGGTTTCATATTTCAACTTTCCAAAAGATAAAACTGCACGTAAACAATGGATTCATGCAATAAGGCGCGACGAAGGGAACTATTTTAAAATCCATGACAAGACAAAGGTTTGTTCTCTTCATTTTAAGCCTGACGACTTAAAGAAATCTTTAAATGGAAGAATATTTGTAAAGGAAGGCAATATTCCTTCAAAGTTTGAGTGGAAGCTAGAATCGCCGAAGAGACGAAAAGCACCAGCAGTCCGACGGCCACTAGTCAAGAACACAACATGCAACAATGTGCCAAGCACTTCTTCACATGCAGATTTCACAGTCAGTAAAGTCAATGACAACGAGGAATTATTGAAGGAAGAGGTGACAGACTTAAAACGCGTACAGGAAGTATTGGAACGAACTATTAAACACACTGAAGATAGCCTTCGCGATGCAAAAGAAACAATCTCTAACCTTCAACAAGAAGACTGTGATCTTAAAAAGAGTATTTGTTTAATTCAGGAAGAAAGCGTTCAGAACAGTGGACACATGAAAAAACAGATCGAAATTCTGAAGAAACAGAGCGAAATTGTTGAACCATTGTTGAATTTGAACAGTCTATTAACGTCCGACCAAGATATTGCTTTCTACACAGGATTTCCCAACTATGATATATTTATAGCACTTTTTAATTACCTTAACCCTGGGACACATGGGGAAAATATAAGGTATGTGAGGGAAAAACCAAATGATTTTTATGTTGCCATCGACGATAGTGAACCAGAGAAGGAAAATGGTGAGAGAAAGAAGGGAAGGCCAAAGAAGCTTAAACCAATTGAAGAATATTTTATGGTGTTGTGTAGGTTACGCAGAGGTTTTTCAATACAGCATTTATCACACTTGTTTGGTGTCGCATCATCCAGTGTAAGCAGAAGTTTGACAGCCTGGATCAACTTTATGTACTTAAAGTTTGGTCAAATTAACCTCTGGCCATCGAAGCAACTTGTGCAAGACACTATGCCTGATGTATTTAAAGAAAAATATCCAAACACTCGTGTCATAATAGACTGTACCGAAATAAGATGTGAGATGCCGGGCAGTTTATTATTGAATGGTGAACTGTTCAGTTCTTATAAGAACCACACAACGCTTAAGGGATTGATAGGGATAGCACCAAGTGGAGCCATTACTTTTATAAGCCAGCTATACACAGGGTCTATATCTGACCGGGAGATTGTGATTCGAAGTGGTTTCCTTGACCAAGCTTTTGTTGATGGTGATACAGTCATGGCTGATAAAGGATTCACCATACAAGATCTTCTACCATTGGGGACAACTCTGAATATACCACCATTCCTTGGTCAGAATTCCCAAATGGGTGCTGAAGATGTGATCCGCACACAGCAAATTGCTAGTGTGCGAATTCATGTTGAAAGGGCTATAAATCGCATTAAAAACTACACGATTTGGAGTGGGGTAGTACCCCTTAGCTCATTTGGACTTGTGAATCAAATGTGGTCCATATGTGCATTTCTGTGCAATGCACAAGACAAACTTATCAGCATATAATTTCTGAAATTATGAGAACTGTATTTGTGTGGAAATATTCAGGTAAATTAATCAATTTGTTATATATTATTATGAATTTAATAATTATTATTTATAAATATATTATTTATTGAGAATAATTTATGAATTTATAAAATATTTTGAGTGTAAATATAATTAAATGATTACTGTAAATTTAAAATGCAAATGAATCAAAGTTATGGATGTATAATGCTACTGAAATTAAATGAAATAAATGGTCTACATTTAAAAATTATTTGTGTTGCATGGATTACAAATAACATTAGTGCACATACACTGTACTTAAAGACACAGTAGCACCTTTTGAGCAATCTGTTTTAGTTACCTGCCAACAAGGTTTAATTGAATTAACTTATTGTTAATGTTCAAATTGAAAATTGACTAAATGTAGACAACAAAAATGCTTCCTAAAACACATTGCTCAAAAGGAACTACTGTGCCTTTACGTACTATGTCAAACAAAAGACCAGCACTCGCAAAGCTATAAGCTATTGTGCATTGTATTCAGTAGTTGCCAAATTGATGAAATGATCAAAGTAATATGACTGCAACATATTTCTCATATTTATCCAGTACTGGTGATCATATTTAATTCTCTCGATGCTGAGTCCCTTGTCAGTATATATAACAAAATCACACCACTTTGCTTGTGTCACTCCTAGTTGACCTTGTATCTGAGCATAGTAATCATGGTCATGCTTGAGTTGTGGTATTCCAGCAACTTCATGTGAACAAAACTTTGGATCTGAACAGGCATCTAAAGGAGTTACCCTGTATTTTGTCTCAGGGCATTTTACCTCGACAAGACCATAGGGTTCACTGCATCCTGCATCAATAACTTTCCCATCTGGAGAAGCTCCAAGGAAAGGTGCATCTTTGCATACAACAAACCCTGATTTGAATAACACTACAGGTTTTCCAATTGCATGCATATATTTCTGGTATTGTTGCAATGCAGTTGACTCATACTTGTTGCCATGGGCTGTGTACTTTGAATTAAAGGGCTTTGGATTGAGCAAGTTATTTGCAAGAGAATCATGATTTCTTTTCCTTTTAGTGATAAGTCCAAAGTTTGAGGCAGTTAACCTGTACTTTCTTTCACATTTCCATTCTGCAGACTGGGCTTGAGCCCTTGTTTTCTTTTCAATATCATTCAGCTTGCCCTCAGTAACACATAATTGTTCGATAAACTTCTTTTCAGATTGACTGCAACTGTTTGGGCATTTAAAATCAGGTATATCAGTAATTGGAAAGATTGGATATAAGGTTGTGTCAATGTTTTCCTTATCATGTAGAGTTTTTCTTGAGACAGAATTTATGTCACAGAAAACATTGAAATTAGACTCTGTTAAGGAAAGTTGATAGC